AAAAAAAAAAAGCACCAGGAAAAAAAAGTAGGGTTATTTTGTGTCTTGATTATGTGTTTTTAGTTGTAGCGTTTGTATCACATTTTGTATTGACAGACGTCACCTTCACATGCCTTTTTTTCCAGACAAAGATAACAATTAGGACAAAGCTTTTGTTTTAATGACGCGAACCAAAGTCAGATGGTGACTAAAGTTTAACAAAAATTTATTCTCCATCGTTATAATGTTTAAATCTACTTAAGATTTTAGACCTCTTATTGTGAACTGTGTGTCAAAGTAAAATGTTGATATCTCTAAATGCCAATAAACATGACCAAAATTGATCCTCAGGCACTCTGACTTTTAAATGTCAGTTGAAAATGTTTATGCTGGTTGATATATCTGAGTTAATCGATGAGTTAGATAACATGTCTGTAAATGCAGATATGCCCCGTTTGTGCAAAAAAGGTCGGGGTGAATTTGGTTGGGCATATTACTCAGCAACATGGAAATATTCTAAAGGTATCCTTCTGTTGATTTTTCATAGTTGAGACTGGGATTTGAATGTGAAGCGTTTTCTGTCTCTCCTTGTGATATTACAGTAGGCAATGTATCAGTAGCTCTTGCTAGAACTATAAAGCATTCCACTTCTGTCTTGATTTACTGCTGGGCTCGACTGTGTAACAGGTGCAGCGCAAGAGACGATTTCGTAGGGGTGGATCTAATTCAACTCTTTCTATTTTAAGAAAAGAGCTGAGAGAAGGAAGTCTACAATCCATCCTCAGGGGATCCTCGCACTTGATTTCTTCCTCAACTACAGATCCTGATCCCTTGTTATCTTCATTCATTAACAGTTCAGCTTTGGTTGATGAACCTCCTGAAGTTCAACCTCTGTCTTCTGCTAAAGCATGCTCAACACAAGATAGCGCTGTTGAGAACCTGTCTGACAGGTATGGCAGCAATTATTACACTTTTGTTATGTCTTCTTTATTATTGCTTTTGATGCTGGAAAGTGGATGAGAAAGTGGGGTATAAAGGGAACAAAGTCCTTAATAATGTAATGTTTCTAAGAATATGAGCACGACCATAGTCAGATTTCTTTTCTTCATGTTTCTCTGACCATAGCTCATTGGATTTATTTTCTTCATGTGTCTGCTAATGTTTAAACTTTTGGTAGAATTGCACACAACTTTATTTTCTTAATGGAAAGTCATTTTAAGCCAAATTTGGATGTAAAAAGGGCAGCATGGTGCACTAAGCTCCCACTATGTGCGGGGTCCGGGGAAGGGCCGGACCACAAGGGTCTATTGTATGTAGCCTTACCCTGCATTATGCAAAAGGTTGTTTCCACAACTTGAACCCGTGACCTTCTGGTCACATGGCAGCAACTTTACCAGTCAAATTTGGATGTAATGTGATAAAAATATATAATGTAACTTTGTATGGCTATTATGCCTTCCCATCCTGTATGCTATATTTATCATTTCTCAATAGTCGTAGATACTCCTGTAGAGTGCTGGCCTATGTTTAGAAAAGGCATTTGTCATGAGTTTATTGAACGTTGTAAATACACTTGACAATGTCTAGCGATAAGTGTGATGCTCATTTTGGTGTTTTCTATTGACTATGTCTGAGATCAGTGATCTTAATGTTATTCTGAACAGAAATTTCCAGCCATCTCCACTATCTGAGGAAGATCAAGAAGAGAAGGCTAGAAAAAGTAAGTTTGTGCAAGGGCTTTTGCTATCGACCTTTCTTGAAGACGACTTCTAATTTAACAGAGGATTTGCTTGTAGTAGTAGCTATTATATAATAACTTGTAATGTAGCTCGGCGAAAAAAAGAGATGCAGCCAATCTGTAGTAGTTAGCCAAGAAGAACTCTGAAAATAGTCGCAGTGTATGTAGTTCTGTATGTATATGATAAAGACTATTACTTTTCCACGTTCGACAGTATGCAATATATTTCTAATTTAAGAGTATAGCAAGGCTGCATAAACATTACTGTGACCCAGTTGCTTTGCCTTGGTTTCTTCTTCAGTGGAAAATGCACTTAAAGATTTTTCTTTCTGTGCTAGGGTCACATGAAAACATGACCTTTCCGGCTCAATAGCCAAGTTTAACAACACCAGTCAAATTCCACAAGTGGGGTCTGGGGAGAATAGAATGTATGCAGATTTTATCCCTAATCCGGAGGGGTAGAGAGGCTGTTTCCGAGAGACTCTCAGCTCAAGAAGACGAAAATATACAATAGAATCTGTGACAACAAAAATCGGAAAAATAATATACGCATCGTAGGAAACAGAAAATAGATAGAAAAACAATAATAACAAAACGGAAAAATAGCGTGGACACAACATACAAAATAATGTCACACGCTTGGCTCTCTCCTAACCTTTAATAGCTAAGTGTATATATGAATTCGGAATTTAATTTGAAAGCTATATTTAAATGCGTCTCAATAGCTAAGTGTATCCTCGAATTCGGGATTTAATTTGAAAGTTATACTTAGATGCAGCCTCTCTCATATCACCTGTCAATGCATGACATATATAGTAGACAGTCAGCTCATTTGATTAGGGAAAGAGTGCTAGTCTAACTGCCCGTAACAAGTGAGTTTGTCCCTATGAGTTTTGTATTATGAGAATTATAAAAATTTAGCTAGTTTTACGTTTGCCAACTTACCACAATCGGCCTCCTTCGTTATAATTATGAATCAGTAATATGAGCAAGCTCACACAAACTGAGTAAACTCCCTATGAGTTGGTCAACTAAAATCTCCTCTTAAGATCAATTTTTTTTTTGGAGTTACTAATCACTTCTACAAGAGAGGTACTTAGCAGAACAATGTGGTTAAAGATCTCATGGTCTAATTTTATGCCACATCAACCAACTGAAAATGAAATAATCAGACCAAGTTTACTTTAGGGAGTCAAGACTTTATATTAAGAAAATAAAGAAATTTATTTCAATTTAAATGAGGAATGACGTTAATATTGAGATTTTGGGTCGAATTTCAGGTAAAACCTAGCTAAAAGGACCGCTTCAACGACTGGCACTTTCGTTTAGTTCATATACATTTTTTTTTTAATCACGGTGATGTCGAGATTAATTTGCTCCTCATCTCTATTATTTCATTAGATACCCTGCTATTTTTCGACACAACTGATGAAATTTTTTGACATAGATTGTTTCACAGGATAGCTACCTCCTATAAACATTATAAGTGTCGAATAATTCTTCCCACCAAAATTTAAGCAAATAAAAAAATCATCTAGCATTTCTTGGTCTTTGCTAAGATTTGAATTGTCTCTAAATCTCTCATAATTTTCATCTCATTTTATTNCCACCACCAAAAGAAAAAACAACCACAATACAATAAAAAGATGACTGGTGGAAAAGGAAAATGTCGGTATATTTAGCTGAAAAGAACCTGCACTGTTATTTTCTGTGGTATATATTAAAGATCGTATTTATAGTAATAAAAAGTTTGGACCTGTCTAGCTGAAAAATTTGGTTAATAGGGAAATGCATGCTTGTAAACGCCGCCCTTAATTAAAAGATTGTATGCTACCTTTTTTTCGGTTTGTACCTCTTCTAGAGTTTGACTAATCCTGATTTACGCTAGAAAATTCCAGTTTAGAGGGTAAAACATCTCTAACAAAATCGACTTCATACCCAAGGTTTAAAATCGAGACCTCTGCTTAAACAAGAAGAGTACATACCACTCCACCGCAATCTTGGTGATAGGCAGTGGTGGCAAAATAGATAAAATAAATAATTATTCATCCATATTATCCACTAAAAATGGGTTGGATAATAAACTTTTTAAAAATGGGTCAGATATGGATTAGATCTATATTATCCACTTAAAAATAGTTCTTAATGGTAACCAATGAGTCTAACTTTTATATTTGTAAAGACTTAAATTTGGGGTTCCTCAAATTTGAGAGAATGAAAATTCTCCCAAAAGTGATCGCATTAAAAAAGTTATAATAGATAATATGAGTATCTATATTATATTTAACCAATTTTCTATTTGTATTAAAGATGGGTGAGTTGGACTCGACCCGTCAATTTTCAACTCGCGCGACACGATCCGTTTGTCAGAGTTGTATGGTACACTTTAATAAACAAGAAAGCTTGAGCATTAAAATTAACTTTATTTCTCAAGCTATAAATACCAACATGAAACAACACAATTTCTTCAGATCAAGTTCTATCCGACAATATATTTCCAACTTTTTGAAGAGAAAAAAAATGATCTATAATGGGAATTGTCACAATCACTGATGAGTTCACTAGCCCATTTCAGCCCCAAGAATGTTTAAGGCTTCCATTCTTGATGGAGACAATCTTCTTCCTAAAATTGCACCTCAACTTTTCAAAAATATTGAGACAATTCAAGGAGATGGAGGCCCTGGAACAATCAAGCAAATGAACTTTGCTGAAGGCAATATATATCTTCTTTTTTTCTATCTTTTTTTTAAAAATTATTTTAAAACCACGCTTCTCTCGAGTATTTAGATCGAGCTTTGCAGGGCTGTGTTTGGTATGACGGAAGTCATTTTCTAGGAAAATATTTTTCGTGAAAAGTTATTTTTGGTATTTTGTTATCATAAAATGTTCCTTGTCCATCAAAACTCAAAAATGCATGCAGGTAGTGACGTCTCTGATCACTTACAGGGCGGAAGTTATTTTCCTTGCAAATATGTGAACTTCAACTACATATACTTGCTTCAACTAACACTTAGACAATATTATTAGTCTCGAGTTGCGCAAAAACAAATCCACTCTTTACTATTAAAAATTTCATCAAAACATTCTTCTATTTGCTAATATAATTATTAATAAAGTCAAACCTCTCTATAACAACCTCGTTTGTTCCGAATATTTTTGAATGTTATAGCGAAGTGTTGTTATAGAGAACATATATTATAGCATAACATAAAAATTGGTTCCGAAAAAGCTTGACTTTTATAGTGAAATGTTGTTATATAAGGATATTGTTATAGAGAGGTCTGACTATATATATATTTTCAAAATATTCTTTTGTAGTTTTATGTATAATAACGCCCCTCATATCGAACACACTCTAAACTAAATTGTTTTTTTCGTGTATGCAGGTAGTGAAATCAAGTTTGTGAAGCATAGGGTTGATGCAATTGACAAGGAAAAAATGACCTATGCTTACACATTGATTGAAGGTGATACTTTGATGGACAAGATTGACTCCATTTCATATGAGATAAATCTTGAATCCATGCCTGATGGAGGATGTAAAGGTAAAAACACTAGCAAATACAATACAAAACCTGGTGTTGAGATTAAAGAAGAGGAAATCAAGGCAGGCAAAGAGATGGCTGCTGGTATTGTAAAGGCTGTTGAGGCCTATCTCTTGGCAAACCCGAATGAATAGTTTAATTAGTCGACCCTAACTTGTTTGGAACTGAGGTATGAGGCGTCATAATTGTTGTTGATGTATGCTCCAGTTTGTTTCACTTTGTTTAATTTACTACTTTTGTTGGTTAATAAAACTTGTGTTTGGTGTGAGAAAGCATTTCCATACCACAACAGTACTATCAAATTGTAATGAGGGTTTTTCTTCGATTTCATTTTATATGCTCGACTTATAATTTAATGTTTATTGAGTCGTTAATTACAAAATTAACAAGAAAAGTTGGAAGTAAACAAAATTAGTTTCGATGAAGTGGACTCCATTAAAGCATAATAGACACAATAATATACATTGAGTATCAGTTCAACTATCTGTCAAGGCTCCACATTCTAGAGGAAAATGACTACAGGGGAAGAAAAGAAAGAAGCAGACTTACATCTAAAAGTCTAATTGCAGTTCTGCTTGTACAGTACAATTTAGATAGGTCAAAAGTTAAATTTCAACATACGAATATGCTTACCTTTGCTGATGCCTAATTATGGAGATATTCAGCAAAGCTACCTAATAATCCCAGTAACTTAATGGAGAGATCTGAAATCTAGTGTTTTTGTTGTAATGATGAACCCAAACTTCACTCATTCAATGGACTTCGAATGGAATAAGTAAATCAGCAATGTCATTCCGCATCCAACTTAACCGCCATATCGGTTTTTTAACAACTCTGGAGGCTCCTCTTCCATGATTCCGGAACCAGTTGTTGCCAAGTACTCACGTATTGTTGTTCTACGATCGCCAAGGAAGGTATGATCAAGAAAATTGTCGTAAGCTATATCACCAAGATTTTGAGCTGCCAGAACACTGCAAAGTAAATCTTTAATCATTTATCAAACTAGGATGCTCGTTTACTGCTTGTGTTAGGTTTGAAATAAATCTTGACTAACAATAAATTAAAGGTTTACAAGTATAAGGTATGGTTGTTTCAATCTAAACCAAAAGCAAAGTAATTTTAGGTAGTGCCATCGGAAAAAAGAACAATTCTGTCCATTCAAGGAACGATATCCAATAATCTCAGAGTTCAAAGTTGAGGAAGCAAGTTTCAAATAAGAATGTGGTTTGCACTACAAGAACTGGACAGAACTAACCAATGGCGGAGATAGACACGGCAAGGTAATATATCATCCCTCCAAATCTTGTCTATGTTATACCGTCCATACTGCTGGAAGAAGATGCCTTTATCACCTAATGATAAAATAAGAGATAACACATCAAACTGCATCATCTACAAAGAAGCCAAAAATAAGAGATAGGACACTAGCAACTTAGCAGAGAAACAAAACTGTCCTACAAAGAACAGCATAAAATTGAATCATCAATTCCAGAACTGGCAGTTAATTCTCCTTTCTGGAGGAAGCATTTCCCATTTTCTTATCATTAGTGTCAGCAAGGTATTTGGTACACACTCTACCATATGACAAAGTTGATTTTTCCTTTAAGTTCACAACAACCCTACACCTTAGTTCTAAACAAGTTAGGGTCGGCTTTTCTTTTTGTTTCAGAATAAAAAATAAATGTATTTTAATAAGG